CGATGAACTTAAGGGCCACCATCAAGCGAGCTGTTGGACAGTATTACTTGGTCTGTTGAGTGGGCGCTTGTGTGTTTTTAGGGGTGGGGAATTTTGGTGGGTGGGGTGTGTTTGGGGACTGTCATGTGTGTGTGTGCATGTTGCGTGTATCTGGGTGTTATGTGAATTTCGTTGTATTTATATTGTGCATATACGTACAATGACAATAAAGAGTTCAAATTCAAATTAAAGTTTGGAAAACCGTGATCTCAAACAAACTATGACTGTTTTCATTCTTACCTTTAACGGCAAATGGCTCTTTCGGAGAAAGAAAAACCCCTTGCTGGAACAGCCCTGGGGATGCTAACCTCCCCTCCGTTGCAATATTTTGTTCAGGGAGAGAAAAGGCCGTCTTTCCAATACGCCGCTGTGACGGGATGTTCCGAATAGACCCGAACAACCATTTCTCACGCCTGGAGAGTTAATGACTGATCTCCAGCACAAGTTTACAATTTAATTGAAATATGGCAGGCAAGAACCGGTGGGATGATTAATGCCGTCGTTAATCACCCAGCGTTCAGCAGCAACCCCACGCTGGGCCTAAAATAATGCTGAGCAGAAGTCCAGCCAAGCTAACCAATATTCCTAATGGGATCCCAGCAATTTGAGGGAAAGGAAGAGGGGAGACTGTCACACAGATGCCCATCTCTGCCAATATTTCGGTCTCCGTGGACGCGGTTGGGAAGGGGTTCTCATTGGATTTTGTAAACCAGAAGGGATGAGGATAAAGAGAGGTTGGAAGACACGGTTCCAAGTAGGGAGGAAGACACTGGAAACATGGAGGCTGATTGGAAAGGCGGTTTAATGTTGAAACAGAACCACATGGGTTTGAGGTCTGGGCAGCTGACCACATGGCGTTGAGATGGAGGGGTATTTATACCTTCTCTTCGGCTTTGCCCTTGAGCTTGCTGTCCCTGTGGCAAGGGCAGTGTGTTCTATTGGTTGCTGTCAGACTCCCGTGGGGCTGGGGGCAGGGAGCTGGGGCTGAGTTTCTGTGCCCCTTAAGATTTCTATTTCTCTACTGGCAAAAAATTAGAAAATGGCTGGAGGAAATAACCAAAGAACAAATCGAATACAAACCAGAGTTCTTCCTACTAGGGATCTCTGATAAACATTTTCCTAAAAAGACGAAATATATAATAATTCATATCCTAACTGCGGCCAGATTAGCATTTGCCCAGTGCTGGAAATCATCCTATTTACCTACAGATCAAATGGTCATTCAGAAAATATGTGACTGTGCAGAAATGGACAATTTAACCATAGCTCTTAAAAATAAAGAGTCTTCAGCATTTGATAATAATTGGAATGCGTGGTATAATTGGTTATATCAGAGATAAACTGTTCAATGAATAATCGGTAATTTAAGCATAAAAAGTGATAAGATGTGTATATTTAAAGTAAGGTAGGAGAATTGGATCTTGCAGACTGTCATAAAGGATATCTGTCTGTTTTTAACGTATTCTCTTTTTTCTTCCGTCTCTTTGTTTTTTTTTCTTTCTTTTATACTTCTTTTTCTCCTTTTTCGGTCGCAAGACCGAGCGTTTTTTTTTTTTCTCCTCTTTCCCTTCTTTCTTTCTTCTTTTTCTCTCTCTGTTGCATATGTAATGTTGTTATGTTTTTTTTTAATTGTAAATTCAATAAAATTTATTAAAAAAAAAAGATTTCTATTTCTCTTTTAGGGAAAATATCCTACCCTTTGAATATTTCCTAGAATATTTCATTCTTCTAGGAGAGGACTTTCTACAGAGGCAAAATTAAGGAAGTTTGGCTGGTGCTCACATGGATAACTTGGGGCTCAGATTCTACCCAGGAAGGAGGAGGCGCATAGTTTGGGTTTGCAAAACATACTGAAAGCTACACCCCAGGGCTTATTTAAAAAACACCCTGAGAGGGAAGGAAATTCAGAAATGGGCCCTCGGGCTTTGCTTTTCAGGCCAAGTTGGGCTGGTGCCTTTTTCTCCTCCTGCCTGAGGCAGCACAAGGAGCAACGGATGGAAATTAATCAAAGAAAGAAGCAACCTGGAACTAAGCAGAAATTTCCCAACGATCCGAACGTTTGATCAAAGGACCAGAAGTTGTGGGTGCTTTGGAGGCTTTGAAGAAGAGACTGGACAGCCACTTGTCTGAAATGGGATAGGGCTCTGACGGCGAACCTATGCCGCGTGTGCCACAGGTGGCACGCAGAGCCATTTGTGCCGGCACACGAGCTGCAGGCCAGCTTACCTCACTGCGCCTGTGTGCGCCTCACAGCTGATTTTTGGCCGGTTTGAGGCCTTTTTCGGTCTCCCAAAGGCTTGAGGGAGGCTTCTGCAGGCTTTGCAGGCCGAAAACTAGCCCCGTTTCACCACTTCCTGTTTTTCTGAAAATACCGGACGTGATGAAACGGGGCTAGTTTTCGGCCTGCGAAGCCTGCAGAAGCCTTCCTCAAGCCTTTGGGAGACCGAAAAAGGCCTCAAACTAGCCGAAAATCAGCTGTGAGGGGCAGTGCAGGTAAGGGGGCAGCGGGGCTGGGTGGGTGGGGATTACACGCACTTGCGTAGGGGACGCGGGTGGGGCACGCATTGCCTTCTGGGTGCTGGCACACGAGTGCAAGTGTGCAAGCGCACGCACAATTTTTAGCACAGGAGCCCCAAAAGGTTAGCCATCAGTTGGTATTATAGGGTCTCCTGCTTGAGCGGGGGTTAGACTAGAAGTCCTCCAAGGTGCCCCCCAACACTCTTCTGTCACTAGCTAAGCTTTTGCAAAATAAAACTGGTCTGTATCTCCCCCCTCTAATTCCCCCTCCCACAGGGTGACTCACTCTTGGTGCCACTGAAGGATCAACTTCCCATTAGCACATATTTTTTTCCCTCCTCCGTGATCATCTCAGCCAAACCAGGGCTACAGAAAGGAGGAGGGGGAGAGAAGAGGGGGGCTTGTATTAAAGGAAGCATGACTCACCAATTCAGGGAGGAAGACCCCTCCTCAGATCTGGCCTTCCTGACTGGGAGAGGGGGGGGACCTTCTGGTTTAACTGGAGCTCAGAAACTGAGGGGTGAGCTTTCTCCTCATCTTCAAAAAAAAATATGATTTCTGTTGTAAGAGGAGGGGGGAAAGGGGGGGACTTTTACCCCAACCGTTGCATCTCTACAACGATGCTCAGCTGTGGCTTATCAAAGAAACCGACATGGGTTTGATCATGATTTGTGGACAAGCCATGACACGACCATGGGTTGACGTTACCATCCCTGACAAAATAAACACGATGGCAGTGTTTCTCAACCGTGGCTCCTTGAAGATGGGTGGACTTCAACTCCCAGAATTCCCCAGCCAGCAAACTGCCTGGGGAATTCTGGGAGTTGAAGAAGCCCAGCCATCTTCAAAGGGCCCAAGGTTAAGAAACCCTGGATTAGGGAAGGCTTTGACGGTGACAAAAAGAAAGGAGGTGGAATCCTCAGCCCCCCACCCCGCTTCCAGAAAGCGTGAAGACAAACCAAGATTGCTAACCGAGATTCACAACCATAATCCACAGCCACCAGGAGGATGCTGATAGACAAGGCATTCCTGGGTGAGCTTTTCTGTGGAACTCTGCTGCCCTCTAGGGGAATTACCATGGCAACATTCTCCCGCCAGGCTTCCTCAATGGCTCGCCAGCCAGATGTGCAGGGACTTCAACTCCCAGGATTCCTAGCCTGACTCCTGTGGAACTCTGGGAGACGCAGTCCAAACAGCCCTAGAAGGCAGCAAAGGAGGAAATGCCCGCCTGAGCATGCTTTTTCCAGTTTCGTCTTGAACAAGTTGGCTAAGATTTAAAAAATAATAAAAAAATAAATTCAATGCAACTGTGGAATAGTTTGCAAGCATTTTTTTTTCGGCTGGAAGGAAAGCTTCTCAGAAATTTTCTGTATAATAATTTCTGAATTGAGGATTGTTTTCTCCCTCCCAAAAACCCTGTACGTTTTCTGGTTCTTTTCTCGCATGACTTGTTTCTGTTCGAAAGCACTTCATCTAGATTTTGCATTCATTTCTGTCTTTCCACCCGGCTCCCTCCACCCCACCCCCCACCCCCCCAGTCCATCAGCTTTGCAAATAAATCATATCGAAATTAAAGATCTTGCAGAAAATAAGGGTCGTTAATCTCAGCGACATGCCTCCAAGTCTGAATCCGTGCTCCTTAAATCAATGAGGTTTAAATGAACATTTGCTATATTGGGCAAATCGGCTGAATTAATTAGGGACATTTTGATCAACTATAAAAAGATGTTGCCAATTAATCACTGGGTCCATGTATTAAAAGCCCCCCTTTTAACAGACGATTGGGGTTGTTTTTTTTTAGAACAGGGATTCTTCGACTGAATGGTTCTGTTTTGGGGAAGACGCACTTCTCCATTCAGGGACACACACACACACCCCAGATTGGTTATGCATGCTGGAAGCAATGGAGGGGTGAAGAATTAAACTCACAAGCTGCATGCACACAACCCATAAACCAGGATGTGGTTTGTTGGTTTGTTTCTCTTTTAGCCTAAATCGGTACCTTGCAACTTTGGCAACTTGAAGGTTGCGTGGATGCCAACTGCCCCAGAATTCCCCAGCCAGCTTCGTTCGACTTCAATTCCCAGAATTCCCCAGCTAGCCTTGCTGGAGAATTCTGGGAATTGAAACCCACACAAGTTGCTTAATATATCATCAACCCAGCCATTCTGGTTTAGAGTTTAGCATAGGCTGTTTGATTCTGGCTTAGTTAATAAACCATGGCTAAGATCTTCCTGCTCCCTAAGGCAGTGGCCCCTCTGCCCCTTCTCCAGCGCTCTGCCCCTGTTCTTTCTTTGGCATCCAGTTTTGCAATGCCAACCTCCCCGGGGCAGCGATTGCGGCCAAGTTGACCCTCTTTGCTTCGACCCCCAAGGGTCCACTTCCACCGGGCCAAGCAAGGGGAGGCGCTCTGCACACGCCCAGAGACTCCCGGCTTCGGGGATGCGCTCCGCCCATCTTTACGCTCCTCCCGGGAGGAGGAAGGCGTGCGGAAGCAGCCCAGACCGGCGGAGGCGGAGGGAACGATTGCTTGGAAGGTAAGCAAGCAAGCAAGCAAGCGCAGGGCTCGGTCGGTGGAACCGGGCTGTAGTGGGGAGGCTAGGTTCTAGGTCCGGACCGGCCACGTAGAGCCGAACCGAACCTAGCCATGCGCTTTGGAGAGCCGCAGCTGCACCCACGCGCATCCTACGCGCGAGCCCGGCTGGCTGGAGAGGCAGGCGGGCGGCGGGCAGGCGCTGCGCGCTCCCTTCTTCTCCTCCAGGAAAGGGGGCCCTAAACGCCGGACCACCCGCCTTCCACTGCGCGCCTTGGGAGGGTTTGGTTTTCGGGCCTTCCTGGCGCGGCTCCTCCGGAGAGGGCAGCCTGCAAGCTGAGGCGCCCCCTTGCCGCCCCCCCAGGCTTGGCAAGGCTCGCCGCGCGCGGGTTCCGGGTTGGCAGGAGGCGCCGGTCGTGGTTTGGGGTAAAGAGCCGAGCCAGGGTGAACCCGAGTCCGTTGTCAAAGGAGAGAAAGCGAACGCAGATTTGGGGGACCCAGCAGGCAAGAGCGACTGCAGGTTTCCAGTACAAGCGATGGTGAAAGTGGTTTTACCTAGTCGTAGCTTTTGCTTTGTTGTTGAGAGGAAGGAAGGAAGGAGATGGGAGGGAGGGAGGGAGGAAGGAAGGAGATGGGAGGAAGGAAGGAGATGGAAATGAGAGGGAGGGAAGGATGGAAGGAAGGAAGGAGAAGGAAGGAAGGAAGGAAGGAGATGGAAATGAGAGGAAGGGAAGGATGGAAGGAAGGAGATGGAAATGAGAGGAAGGAGGGAAAGGAAGGAAGGAATGGAAGGAAGGAAGAAGATGGAAATGAAAGGAAGAAAAGGGAAGGATGGATGGAAGGAAGGAAGGAGATGGAAATGAAAGGAAGAAAAGGGAAGGAAGGAAGGAAGGAGATGGAAATGAGAGGAAGGAAAGGAAGGAGAGGTAGGTGATAGGTGGAAACAAGAAGGAAGGAAATCCAGATAGACAGACACACCGTGCCACTGAGAGAGGGATATTTAAAACCGTTCAGGCTTAAGGTTCAGAATTCTTTGCCAAGCAAACTTTTTCTTTGTCTCCTTATGGGCAAATTAACTGAGAAGAACCAGGGTCAAAATTAAGGGCCACCTCTCAGGAGGCAAGAGCCGAGCCTTCCCTCGTGGAGAAGCTGGCTTGAAAGCATCGTGAGATGCTGCATCTTTCTTACTGATGGTTTCCTTTAAGGCAAGGACCGATTCCTGCCATGGCGACTCAGGCCATCCCAGTCTCAAAGCAGACCAGAGAAGCCGTGTGTGGCATCCCAACGGAGGTGGTGTGCACCTCCTTTGGAGCCACGATCCTGGTGGTGGTGACCCAGTATGGAAAGATGGGGACTCTGGTCTCAGTGGAGCCTGACGCAGTACCCGATGGGATCAACAGAACTTCGTGGACCACGAAAGTTCTCCTGGGCAAAGATGAGGTATTCTTCCTCCCGTCCCTATCTTCGTTTAACCTCCCAGTATCTTCCTTTCTCCTTTTTTTCACTTCCTTTGTTTTCTTTTGGAAGTCCACCAGCTGTCTTGATGGCTTAGCCAGATAGCCACACCGTGGAGGAAGAGGTGGAGAAGGTGAATGTCAAGCCCGAAGTTGACATATGCGTAGCCCTTTTATTTAGCCTTATTATCTATTCTTTTTCTCTTTGCTGGTTATGGGGGAAGGTTTTCGGACTTGCCACATTCCTAAGGTGGGAGGAGTGGAGATAGAGAGAGTTGTTTAGGCTAGGTGGTTCTCCTTCCCGTGGGAACGAAAGCTGACCCTGCTGAGACCTGGAGGTGGAGACTGAGGACACCAGGCAAACGTTGATTTGCTTCGATTGGAGAATGTGACTTTGGGGGTGTGTTTCTAACTTCCAATATTATGTGGGGTAATTCCGGGTTGTGTCGGATCTGGAATTTTAATGGACTTTGCCAATTTGATCCTTCCCTAAATAAAAGAAATTGTTTTGGAAGATGGATTTTGCTCTTTTCTTTTTAAATGGGTTTCACTTAAGATCTTCTTGCTTTGCTTTCAGCCTCTTGTCCACATCTCCGCCAAGCATCTGGTGACCTTGGTGTCTCAGGAAGCTGGCAACAAGGCCGTTCTGCTGGCAATGGCTCTGAAGGACAAAAGCATCGAAGGCATCCGGAGGTTGAAGGAACTCATCCATCAATGCCGAGTGTGGTGATGGTGGGACCCAAAGAATTCTTTGGAGGCCAGAGACGGCTGCCTGAGGTTAATGTTGGTTTGGATGCAAACTTGATTGTGTACATTGGGGTCTCCAAACTCGGCAACTTGAAGACTTGTGGACTTCAACTCCCAGAATTCTCCAGCCAGCATAGCTGGGAATTCTGGGAGTTGAAGTCCATGGGTCTTAAAATCAGGTCTTGAAGCCCATGGGTCTTAAAGTTGCCACGGTTGGGCTCCCTTGGTGTACACCAGAGGTCTCCAAACTTGGCAACTTTAAGACTTGTGGACTTCAACTCCCAGAATTCCCAGCTATGCTGGCTGGAGAATTCTGGGAGTTGAAGTCCACAAGTCTTCAAGTTGCCAAGTTTGGGGACTCCTGGGGTACACGCTAACTTTTTTTTCCTGTTCATAACTCTTATTTTGAACTTTGACAATGAACATTTGTGGGTAAGCTGACACAACGGGTGTCAATTCATGTTACATAAACATTCACAAATACCTGTTCAGAAACCTGCTGTAACCATTAAAAAGTTTGATGTTGTACTTGCCTAGGAATTAGCCCCAGCAAATTTTATAGCAAGTTTTCCTAGTTAATTGGATTCTTTTCTGAGGAAGCCCAAGGAAGTTTCAAACGTTGAACAGGTTTTTCCCAGTTGCAATGTTTAAATTTCTCCCCGCCCCCTTCATCTTTTCCCCTTACATTTCAGTTTTATAGCACATCAGAAGTAGTTCAGGTCACAAATAGCATTCAGCGATCCTATTGAGCATTTCCTCTCCATGTTTTCTCATTCTGAAAGCAACCCGAATAAATTCAGAATAGCTTTGCTGCCATCTTCTGAAAGGACAGTCTCCGTTTGACTAAAACAATAAAGGAATTGCAATATGTTTACAGTAATCTTTGTCTGAAGGACTCCTTAAAAGGAAGTAAAAAAAAGGATTGTTTCCATGGTGATCATGTCTGGCTGGGGAATTCTGGGAGTTGAAGTCCACATGTCTTAAAGGGGCCAAAGTCTGGATCGGACTGTGAAAGATGGAAAATGTCATAAACTGACAGGATGACTTTTGATTTCAGAAATTAAAATGGGAAGGGGAGGTGATTTAGCTGGACAAATCCTCGCCGTTTTTCTTGGCAAGATTTCCAAAATGATCGACCCTCGCCTGCTTCCTAGAACTGAGAGAGGAACCAGTCAAAGTCACCTAGCTGGTTTCTAGCCTCTGGCCTTAACCACTACCCTAAACTGGTTTTCTAGGTTTAAACCGTTGAGTCCCGTAAGCCTCTATTGTATTCCTGGGGCAGGCAATTATGGCAATTTAATAACCTGTGGACTTCAACTCCGAGAATGGCTCAGGTATTCTGGAAGTCCACAGGGCCTAAAAGTGGTCATAATCATCCTCCCCCTGCTCTATTCCGACCCTTTGCCCTGTAAAGGAATTCATGGCTTTCTTGGTTATGAGTGACCCAATAACTATTTGAGGGGCTGCCCCAAAGAAGAGGGAGTCAAGCTATTCTCCAAAGCACTGAAAGGCAGGACAAGAAGCAATGGATGGAATTTAACCAAAGAGAGAAGCAACTTAGAACTAAGGAGGAATTTCCTAACAGGGAGAACAATTAACTAGTGGAACAGTTTGCTTCCAGAAGTTAGGAGGTCAAAATCCTCACTGAAGGATTTTGAGAAGAGAAATTGGTCAAGAATAACTGTACAAAAATGTCAATGTATAAATAGTATATATGTGGTTTTTTATTTTAGTGTGTATGGTGAAATAAATGCCAGGATGGTGGTCATGCTGTCTTCGATATTTTTATATGTAAACAAGAATATATTTGTATGGTATTTAGGTTTCTTCGGGAATTTTCCCACGTCTTAATATTT